TGTGTTGCAGGGTGAACGGGCGACTGGTGGACAGCGGGCACCCTCAGGCCTCCACACCTCCTGGGATGGCTGCCCCACACCTCGGTGCTTCCCGGGGACCCTCATGCACTGTGTGCTGACCACCAGACTCCTCTCGCCCGCCCAGGGCACTGTGAATGTCTCCAAGGCAGGACACGGTGGGGCCCAGATGCTATCCTCCTCGCTTACCAGCTGTGGGACCTTGAGCACGCCAATGCTCTGCGCCTGTGTCCTCACTTGTAAAATGGAGTGAATAAAAGCACCCGTTTCTATGTGTCTTACTGCGGACGCTTAAACGCAAGGAAGCAGGCAGAATGTTCTGACGGGCACTACTGCCGTCGTGGTCCCTGGGCTCCCGGTGCCCAGCAGCCCAGAATCACAGGCTGGACGACGCCTCAGCGGGCAGAGGGCTCTGTCCCTCGGTCCCCTTGCCGATGACGCGCTGCTGGGCAGAGAGGTAGAAGCTGAAGAGCTGGACTCAGGAGCCAGGCCGCGGGGGTTCAAGCTCAGCCTCCCCGACTCCTCACTGTGTGACACCGGTGACTCCCCCAACCTCTCCCTTTCTGCTCTGTGACAGCCCGGGCCGTGTCCGTGACCTCCCTGTAAAACTGCTGGCGGAGGGACCAGGTGACACGTCAAAGGTGCAGGATGAGCCCTGAGAAGCCACTGTTCTCATTACCATTCCTGGCATACCGCAGGTGTTGGATGAGAATAGCTTGCCTTCCCCTCTGCCGCCTTCCTCCCGCTAAAGGCTGAGGGGGGGGAGCTGCCCGTGGAAGCTGCCGAGGAGAGCGATGAGGCTGTGATCGGCCTTGTCGGGAGCGGCTGACAAATGGAGCAAATCCAGACAGATGCAGCCAGCCCTCCAGTCGGCTGTAAATAAAGTGCTGGCGCCCAGGAAGGAGGCCCCTGCAAGAGGGATGCAGTGACGGGGCCGGCCATCCATCCCCTCCCAGCGGCAGCTGCCAGCAGCCTGCCAGGGCTCACAGCACAAGCCACCAGGTGGCCAGGCCCAGAGGGGCACAGAAGACACGACCTAGGCTGCAGCAGTCCTACGGGCCCGGGGCCCTGTCTCTGAGGGGCTCAGCTGCAGGCATATCAGCGGCCCTGGTCAAGCAGGGAGGCGGGCAGAACAAGGGACTGGCCCCAAAGAGGGCAGACTCAGCACAACAGGTGGCATCTGAGGGGAGAGGGGACATGCCAGGGTTCCAGACACTGCAGCTCCAAAGGCAGCCAGATACCAACTGCACCCCTGACCCCAGGCCCAGACACCACATGGGGGATACATGGCTGGTTCATGATCCCACCCTTGGGCAGGTTAAGGCACAAAAAGGGTGACTCTGGGAAATAACCATTGGCCTATTAATCCATTCATTAATGAGCACCCACTATGTGCCAGGTACTGGCAGTGCTGGGGACACAGTGAGGCAGACACACTGTGGTGCTGGTGCGTGTTTCGTGGAGCCCACAATATACAGACGAATGTTCTTCCAGCACAACCCTCACGTGTGCCAAATGGCTAATGACAGCAACAGATTCTCAGTCCTGGACACTGGGAAGGTGGCAGCTTCTGCCACGGAGTCCAGGACAGCACTCAGGAGCCCCAGACCCCAAGGGCATGCCCAGCCTCTGGGCGCTGAGCCCAGGAAGCATGGCTGGGCCTTGGAGGACACGGTACCTGTGGGTCCCCAGCCAAAACCCCTGGCCGCGGGCACTGGGTGTGCCGGCAGGGCTAGGAGGCTCAGAAACATCCCACCCTCAGTGGGTCCCCCTGAAGGCCCCAGGGGCCTTCCGAGCAGTGGGGCAGCAGGTATTGGGGTGGGGGTGCAGGGGCGGAGTCCTCACCCTTGTCCAGAGTGCGAGGGGCCAGTGGGGGATTCGGGCTGAGTGGAGGCCAAAGCACCTGCACTCACTGTGCGCCAGGCACGGCCCCAGGGCCTGCCCTGCGCCCCCAGCACGCCATGACGTGGTGCTCTTACCCTTTTTGTACAGACAAGGAAACTGAGGAACAGAGAGGATAAGAAACTTGTCCAAGGCCACTCAGCTACTAAATTGCTTGAGCCAAGATTAACACCCCCAGGCCACTGAAGGTTGGGAGCCACTGAAGGTTCTTGAGTATTGGCATTGCCTGTTGGCTCTGCATGGGGCTAGGTGGAGAAGAGATGGGGGAGGAGGCTGGAGGTATTAGGTTGGTGCGAAAGTAATTACAGTTTTAGACCATGAATTTGAACAATAAATTGTTATAACTCTGCTCAAACACATCTTTATTAATCAAAATAGAAACCATTACAATTAATACATTTTTTGTCAATGAGAAATAAGTGTGTTTATTCCTGTAGTGTAAAAATCCGGACTTCAGGATTCTACACACTCTTGGAAAGCATTTTCTGCATCCTGCTGGCTGTGGAAGTGTTTTTCCTGCAAAAGCTGTCAAGATGCTTGAAGAAGCAGTAGTCAATTGGCAATAGGTCAGGTGAACACGACGGATGAAGCAAAACTTTGTAGCCAATTTGTTCAACTTTTGAAGCATTGGTTGTGGGAAGTACAGTTGGGTGTTGTCATGGAGAAGAACTGGGCCCTTTCTGGTGACCAATGCCAGCTGCAGGCATTGCAGTTTTCGGTGCATCTCCTCGATTTGCTGAGCAGACTTCTCAGATGTAGCAGTTTCGCTGGGATTCAGTGAGCAGTAGTGGATCAGACCAGCAGCAGACCAGCAAACAGTGACCGTGACCCTTTTTTGGTGCAAGTTTGGCTTTGGGAAGTGCTTTGGAGCTGCTTCTTGGTCCAGCCAGTGAGCTGGTTGTCACAGGTTGTCATATAAAATCCACTTTTCATCACGTTACAATCTGATCGAGAAATGGTTCATTGTTGCTGCGTACAAGAAGAGAAGATGGCGCTTCAAAACGATGATATTTTTGATTTTCGGTCTGCTCATGAGACACCCACTTATTGAGCTTTTTCATCTTTCCAATTTGCTGCAAATGCCAAGCAACTGTAGAACGTCAACACTGAGTTCTTCTGCCACTTCTCATGGAGCCATTCGATGACTGCTCTCAACTGGTCGTTGTCAGCTTCCGATGGCCAGCCACTGTGCTCCTCAACCTCAAGGCCCTCGTCTCCTTTGCAAAACTTCTTGAACCACCGCCGCACTACACGTTCGTTAGCAGTTAGCCAAATGCGTTGCTGGAGTTGCAAGTTGTCTCTGCTGCTTTACAACCCATTTTGAACTCCAATAAGAAAATTGCCCAAATTTGCTTTTTGTCTAATATCATTTCCATAGTCTAAAATAAACATAAAATAAATAGCAAGTGGTAAGTCATTAGCAAAAAAAATAAGGCAAGAAATGCACATTGAAATGATGCATAACAAAATCACATTTATTTAAGAATGTATTCCAATATCTAACAGCAAATGTCAACAATGCTAAAACCTTAATTACTTTTGCACCAACCTAATAGAAACTTGGTCACAACCACGTCCCATGGCACTAAGAAGCAACGTGGAGACAGCACAGCCAGGTGACACTCAGAATCTGCAACAGTGGCATGGGTGTGCTAAACTTGAGATGATGGTCTCTGAGCCTCCTCTGGCGGTGGTTTCCGTGCCTCCACGAGAAGACCAGGGCGACCAGCTCTGCTAGGCCTGGCCGGGCCCTCCCCGCCTCATGAGGTGCCTGCCACCTATCCTCTGCCGGAGAGCCCACTGCCCAGGTTCAAAGGCCTGGCCTTGGGGCCACTCCGAAATGCAGGCATTATTGGTAATGTGGAACACCCCACTTCCAGAGGTCCCCGTTTTATCTTACCTGGGGCAGGGTAGTCATCATTTTGGGGTTTTATTTTGTTGTTTACTTGCAGGTGAAATATCCAAAGAGAGAAGATGTTTTCGTACACCCCTGGTCCGCAGGGGTTGGGGGGCCGGGGGTGTCCTCCACCGCGAAGCCAGCCACACCCCCACACTGCCTGAGAGACACAGCTGGGTCTCTGAAAATAACCAAGTATGAGATTCATATTAATTTTCTGTTTAGTCACAATTTGAATTTCAAATCAGGCCTGCATTGCCTCAGAGAGACTGTGGCCTGTGTCCCAAGCCTGCCACCAACGTCTGGTCCCTCAGCCCCTTGAGCGTTCGAGTGGCTTTCTCAGGGAGCCCAGCGTGTCAGGACGGGGTGCAGAGGGCTTTGTGCCCAGACAGGCAGGCGGACACCCTCAAAGTCCTGCCTTTGAGGCGGGAGTCTCAGCACCCCAGGTCTTCACACCTGCCTTTCCCCAAAAATCCATCACGGGGGCGGTCTCCAGTTGACGTGCTCTTTTCCCTCAGTTTTGCTGGGCTTGCTGTGCGTGACCAGCGTGTGTGAGAGTGCAGAGGACCTGCCCTCACTTCACGCACTGGCGGCCTTTCCGTGCCTGGTGCTGGCTGGCCACCCTGCCCGAGGACACCAAAGGGGCCGGAAGGCTTCAGCGAGAACTGTTCTCATCACCTCCTCGTCCACACTCCTGGCTGCGGCAGGCACTTCTCTCTCCTGAGCCTCAGTTTCCTCCCTTGTAAAATGGGACAACGTGACCTCTTGGAAGGCCTGCTGCATGCCTGGTTTGTGATATAAGAAGCCTTCAGGCCGGGCGCTGTGGCTCACGCCTGTAATCCTAGCTCTTGGGAGGCCGAGGCGGGCGGATTGCTCAAGGTCAGGAGTTCAAAACCAGCCTGAGCAAGAGCGAGACCCCGTCTCTACTATAAATAGAAAGAAATTAATTGGCCAACTGATATATATATAAAAAATTAGCCGGGCATGGTGGCGCATGCCTGTAGTCCCAGCTACTCGGGAGGCTGAGGCAGGAGGATCGCTTGAGCCCAGGAGTTTGAGGTTGCTGTGAGCTAGGCTGACGCCACGGCACTCACTCTAGCCTGGACAACAAAGTGAGACTCTGTCTCAAAAAAAAAAAAAAAAAAAAAAAAAAAAGAAGCCTTCAGTTTGTTCAACACTCAGCTAGGATTTATTTAGCGCCACCCATGTTCCGGGCCCTGCCCCAGGTAAACGAAACAGGCCAAACCCTGCGGAGGACACTGTAGGGCAGTGGCTCTCAGCGGGGCATGTTTGTCACCCAGGTGACACTTAGCAATGTCTGGAGACATTTTCGGTTTCCACAATCCTGGGGGCCACAGAAGGTGCTACTGGCATCTGACAGGTGGAGGCCTGAGACCCTACTGAGCGCCCTCCAGTGCACAGGACGGCCTCACAACGGCTGTCCCACCATGAACGCCGAATGCCAAGGTCGAGAAGCCCTGTTCTGGAGCAAATAAGTGAACATGCATCGACTGCTAGAAAGCACCGAGTGCGAGAGAGACCCCCATCTCTCCCAGCACATGAGAGCCCTGAGGCCATGGACAGCCCCGAGGCTGCCCAGCCGACTCGAACCAGGCCAGGGACACCTCACAGCAGCTGCTGGTTGTGCCCAGGCCCTAGGAACCCCGGCTGCAACCCTTGCTGCAGGCCCTTGGGGTCCACAGATGAATGGGGCTGGGCCCCGCCCAGGACCACCAGCCTAGCAGGGTATGCACACACCATGGTCCGGTGCTTTTGCGCTCCTTGGCGGTGGCCCGGCCATCTCTCTGGGCCTTAGTCCCCCGTGTGTTGGGACCTACCTGTGTGATTGTCTCAGGGTCAAGGGCTGCTGGTGTTACAGTGCATGTTGATGGAGTGACATGGAAGGTTCTGGAATAGTGAGAGGAGGGCATGATGAAAATGAAGTTCACCAGGTGGATAAGATGAGTAAAGAAGAAGAGACAGAGGTGGAGACCGCCCCCGTGATGGATTTTTTGGGGAAAGGCAGGTGTGAAGACCTGGGGTGCTGAGACTCCGGCCTCTGGGCCAGCATGTGCGACACAGAGGGCAGGAGCGATGGGGCGTGGCCTCAGCCCCCACAAGGCCGCAGCGCCAGGCCCGAGACTTCACCTCCTGTCTGCTCGCACGGTCTGTGCTCAACTCGGCAGCCAAAGGGACTCTTTGAAACCCAGCGTCATGCCCATCCCTCCCCACCGTCATGCCCATCCCCCCCCACCGTCATGCCCATCCCTCCCCACCGTCATGCCCATCCCTCCCCTTGCAGGCCGCTCACAGCCACATCCGTCCAGAGCCCACAGTCCTAGGGGCCTCGCCCCTCCTTTCATGGTCCCTCACCAGCCCTGCCCGCACCCCCTTCTCCAGCTTCCTTGCTGTTCCAGAAACCCGGCTGGCCCCTCCTGTCTCAGGGTCTTCACACCTGCTGTCCTCTCTGCCAAGAATCGCACCCTCCAGATACCCCAGGGCTTGCTCCCGCCTCTGTCCGGGCTTTGCTCAGTTGGTGATGACATCACAGAGCACATGACCTTTGAGCTGGGCGCTGAAGGGTGAGTAGGAGTTCATCAGAGGGAGGAAGGAGGGTCCTTCCAGGCGGGGGGTCCTGCGTGGCTGGGGGTGCTGCGCGGGAGAGGCAAGGTAGCCCCAGGGGTTAACCACCCTTCTCCAGGTGAGAGACCAGGAACCTGGGGTGCAGAGTGGGGGGCCAAGGGCACGGTGCAAGAAGACAGCAGGGGCCTTGTGCTGGAGGGGCTTGAGCACCACAAGGAAGAATTTTGACTTTATTCTTCAAGTCACAGGGTTTTGACCAAGAGTCACTGCTGGAACCTACATTTAAGGAGTTTGCCTGGACACGTATCGGGGCCCTGCGGGGGGCTCCAGCGTCGTCCGTGCTCCTCGGGGCAGTCAGCTCGCCACACGCTCTTGTGCAATCCGCACAGCGCCCTGCCAGGCAGAGAATATTCTCTTTTCCCTCCTGAGAGGTCTGGGGTGAGGATTGGGAAACAGACTTGCCCACGGCCCCAGGCCAGTCAGGGGCTTGGTGGGAATTCAGACAGACCCAGCCCCAGGCCCTTCCGACCCCTCCTGCTGCCCCGCCCCGGCACATTAGAGAGGCCACACCCCAGGTCTGGTCCTGCCCAGGTCTTCCCACCTCTCCCAGGAAGGGGAAACCTCCATGCCATCAGTAAAACGGCTCTGTAACCCTTAAAACCCAGTGACCAGGTCGCTAGCTTCAGGGTTGCCAAGGCTGATAAGTGACATTTGTCTTTTTAAGCTACATTAATTTAAATCAAGCCTTTGCTGGTGATGGGTGTCTGCGTGTAACAGTGATATGAAGAAATCTCAGAGTGCTGTGGGCTTCTGGGGCTCAGAAAACAACACCCCCAAATGAACCCTTCAGCAGCAGCCTCAGAAGCAAAAGTTCTCTGACCTTCTTCTGCCCTTTTGTCCCTCGCCCCCTTCCCCACCCCTAGGCTCGCCATGGAAACTAGAATCCCTCTTCCCCAGGATGGGTCACAAAAGCCAGAACACCTTTTCTCAAAAGCAAGCCATAAAACCTAAAACTATTCTGTGTAAACACTGGCCATAAAGAAATTCTCCGACCTACCCTGTTTGCCATTGCCGAGGCGCCTGCCCACCCAGGAGGAAGGATGCTGCCCTGAGGCCAAGAAGACTCTAGACAGACAGGCCTTGCAGGGTTTCCCCACTCCGTCTGTTCGCATTAGACCACACCCTTTTTGTCCAATCATACTTCTGCGTCTCCGTGCCTACTGTTGAACCTAAGTATAAAAATGGACAATTTCCCCTGTATCTCTGGGTCTTTATTCTAAAGGCTGCCAGGTACTCACATTAAATAAATTCATATGTCTTTTCTCCAATTATTCTGCATCTTGTCAGTGATTTTTCAGCAAACCTTCAGAGGGTCAAGAGGAACCTTGGTGCCTCCAGGGAGAAACGTCAAACTTGTTGGGGTCCCAGGGAAACCATGGGGTACACCTGCAATCCTGGCCCAGGAGACAGAGTCACGCACAGTCCTGCTGTGGCAGCTGGGAGCCCACACGGAAACTCCAGAGCTGACTCCCCTAATCCCGCCTGGGCCGGTCGCAGGGGGTGGGGCCTCTGCAGACACCTATCCACGGGGACAGAGAAACACCCGTGCCTGCTGCCAGCCTCGGGGACAGAGAAACACCCGTGCCTGCTGCCAGCCTCGGCCAGGCACCACTAAAAGGGGCATTGTTCCATCCTCTCAGTGACCCCTGAGTGAGCACTGCCCCCACCCCACCCCCACCACCCCACCCCCGTGCAGGGAGGAAGCTGAGGCCCGGGCACACTGGGGGCTTGCCCAAGCCCACGCGTGTCTGCGTGTCAGTCTAGTCCCCTTGCCTGCCCCCAGCCATGTGAGCTAAGAGCCTGCTGCACAGAAGAGGTGGCTCTTGAGCTGAGAGCCAGCCGGAGGCCGAGGCGGGCGGGTCTTCCACAGGGAAAGGCCATTCCCAGGAAGGAGAGGAGACGGAGCAGAGGCACAGGGATGACGAGCAGGGGCAGAGCTGGGGGTTCGAGTTGGAGTGGCCCTCAAGTCCCAGATTCATCTCCCCAACTCATTTTGGAAAGGGGGAGCTGGAGAGAAGCTAAGGAAACAGCAGTACTCACTTTCTTCTTGGAATAAAACTTAGGCTATTTTAAAATCCTTTTTCTTCTTGAAAACATCTCCAGTTTCAAGCCTGCATTTTTGGCAACCTCCTCCCTGCCCTCTGCTCTGAGTCCCTTGGCATTCAATGGAAACAATGCACTCGGGGGAGGGCACACCGCGTCCAGCAGGGACAGAGGCCAGGAAGGGAGGACACAGCAACAGGGCGGGGGGCAAAGGCTGGAAGAAACAGCAGCTCTGAGGAAGTTCCTTTCTGGAGGGAATCATCCAACAGAGGGAAGGAAAGGAACATGCCCTGTGTGCCTACTGTGTACAAGCACCACCGCACCGCCCCACCCCTGGCATGCCCACACATACCTGCTTGGTGGCCCATACTCAACACTTCTTGAATCAGATGATGCTTTGAATCCTAGCTGTTTCTAGGCTAGTCAACATTGATAAAGCACCCACTGTGTGCAAGCACCACCCAAGCACTTCCATACCTGGCCATTTAGTGGCTTACACTGAACACTGCTTGAATCAGGAGACAGTGCTTTGAATCTCAGTTCCACTTTCAACTAGCCAGCATTAATAAAGCACCTACTATGTGTGAGCACCACCCAGGCACTTCTGCCCATGCCTGCCTGGTGTTCTACATGCAAAACTTCTTGAATTAGATGATGTTTTGAAACCCAGCTCTGCCTTTCAGCTAGCCAACACTGTTAAGACACCTACTAGGTGCATGATGTCACCATGGCAAGGGAATTAAACTTACAAGACCCATTTCCTCCACCAGGAGAACTCGTTTGCTCCCTATATGGGGAGAATACTCGGCTCAGAGGGACTGACAGTGACCAAGAAGACACTTGGAAAAGAGAGAACATTACTTAATCGGCTCTGGATAGAAGGAGCTCCTATGTGGACAGCCCCAGCTGCTGGTGAGGGCAGTAACGGGCAAGCAGGAGGCCCCTGGGTGTAGGGGGGGTTCAGTTCTTCAAGACTGTGGGCACCCACTCTTCACTGGCATTGGGACCACACAGGAGACTCAGGCATCAGCCTTAAAACAGCTCATGATCTAGTGGAGGAGATCTCTCTGCCACCAACACAGGCTCTACCTTGTGCCTTGTGTTCCCCATGGGTTTTAGGGGGTGAGATAGGGCCCAAGCCCGCACATACACTTGCGTTGTGACACTGGCCTCTTGTGCTCTGGCAATCTGCCGTGAGCTTGGGCCCCAGAATGAGATCTGTAATGGAGACCTGAAACCGACCCAAGGTCTGGAGCCGAGTGGGACTTACTACAGCCTTCCTGAAGATGCAGGAGTGAGAAAATAAGCCACCTTCCTATATAAGCCACCAAAGTTTTGGAGTAATTTGTTACATGGCTTTATTACAGCAATCGCTGCCTGATACGTGGTGATAGCACTTTATTGGAGGCATAGCCAGGTGAGCTCAGAAGAAGCCGTTGAAGACTTAAGAGAAGCTTCTGGGAGGAGGTGACATGTAAACTGAGCCTTAAAGAATAAGTATGACAAGAAAATTGACGGTGTCCCATGCAGATGGCAGGACCCCCAGAAAGGCAGAGGGGAGGTTCAGCGGTGGGATAGGGGAATCATGACAGTCCCAGTAAGGAGGTAATTGCCCTGTGGCTGGTACTGGGGAAAACATTCCTTTCTTAGAAATTCCAAAGTCAGTTCCCTGCAATGTGCAGGCAGCAGGCGTGTGTGTTAAAAGCCAACCTCAGGGCTGGGTGTGGTGGCTCACACCTGTAATCCTAGCTCTCTGGGAGGCCTGATTGCTCGAGGTCATGAGTTCAAAACCATCCTGAGCAAGATCCTGTCTCTACTATAAATAGAAAGAAATTAATTGACCAACTAAATATGTATATACCAAAAATTAGCCGGGCATGGTGGTGCATGCCTGTAGTTCCAGCTACTCGGGAGGCTGAGGCAGGAGGATTGGTTGAGCCCAGGAGATCGAGGTTGCTGTGAGCTAGGCTGACGCCATGGCACTCACTCTAGCCTGGGCAACACAGGGAGACTCTGTCTCAAAAGAAAAAAAAAGCCAACCTCAGAATGTAGGGCTGTTGTTGGTTGGGTTTTACCTTTTTTTAAATTTAATACCTTTCCAGGTTTTAATTCTGTAGCCTTTGTCAAAACCTCTGCCTCAGAAGCCACCCCATTCAGGAGCTTTTCAGGGGCCCTGTGGCCATGCTGCAGCCTCTCAGGGAGCAGTTCACGCTCAGCAGTTATTTTTCTCCCTGGTCTGACCGATGCCATTCCTACCTTGAGGGGCCATCCCTACCGTGGGGGGCCGTCCCTACCATGGGGGGCCATCCCTACCTTGCGGGGCCCTCCCTACCATGGGGGGATGTCCCTACCATGGGGGGCCTGACTCCCTACCCCCACCTCTCCACGTCAACACTGAGATCCAGCATGCGCCTGGCCTGGAACTGCACCCCCCCCCTGCCCTCACAGACCCCACCCGCCCTTACCGCACAGGCCGCCCTGCGCCCAGCCCTGCCCAGAGAGGATACCCACGGCACTCACACACCACCCTGACGCACACTCCACACTCACCACACACTCACCACAGTCACCACACTCACCACACTCACCACTCACCACACTCACCACACACTCACACACACCACACTCACCACACTCACCACTCACCACACTCACCACACACTCACACACACCACACTCACCACTCACCACACACTCACACATTCACCACACTCACCACACTCACCACACACCACACTCACCACACACTCACACACTCCGACAACTCAAGCCACATCAAACCACACCAACCACACACTCACCAACACTCAACACACCACACTCACCACTCACCACACC